TAGAGACAAGGAGGTCATGTGGGACAGTAGTTTCCATTAGTTCTGCTGCAGCCAGTTCCAAGCTCTCAAAGCCAAGAAACTGCAGTCCCACATACTACAGGTGTTCCTCAGAGATCTTCAGAGAGTTATAGCTCACAGACTTCTATCCTAGTCACTTGATGCTTTCCTTGGATAATGAGCAGGCCACAGTTGATCACTATGTGGTTGTCACCTGGCCATAGTTACTCAGCTCCCCAAGTGCTGTCATTGTAAAGGACTGAATCAGGTTTGTAAAGTACATATTTACAGAAGGCACCAGAAGAAGATGACTGACTCCAACAGAAACATCCCCCCCAGATGAGATGTTTGAATCCTAGCAGTTTGGGTGGAAGAGACCTTAAAGCTCATCCAGTTCCAACCCCTCTATCATGGGCAGGGACACCCTTCGCTAGCCCAGGTTGCTCAAAGCCTCATCAAACCCGGCCTTGAACACTGCCAGGGATGCGGCAGCCCCAGCTTCTCTGTTCCACTGTCTTGTCACCTCACAGTAAAGAGCTGCTTCCTAATACCTACTCTAAGTCTACCCTCCTGTCACTGCTATGCTAAAAAACTTCAGAAACTTTAAAAATGAAAAATGAGCTTGAAGACAGATGTGCAGAGCACAGGCTCTCTCACTGATACCATGCGTTACAATAACTGAAACCAGTTTTTACCTGTGTGTATGAGAGCAAAAGCTACTGAGCTCCTTCCCCAACCTCCTACCTCTGCCTCCCAACACCCCCCACCCAAACAATGCATACACATGCATGTTACTGGCAGCATTAAAGGAAAGATGCTGCAAAATGTAGCAAAGAAATCAATACCAGCTAGGTGTGAAAGAGATGTCTTTATTCTGTTTCACTATTCAATGTATAATTAATACATTTATGTTAAAGGACTCTCCTTAAAACTACTGTAATTAATTTAATGTAAACAATGACCGTTTTGTGCAATGTGTGCCAACCAACATGTGAAGTACAACCAGAGAAACAGAATGGTCAAACGATTTCCATGGTAATTTGCACAGCAGGTTTCTTATACAAAGCAGTTACACAAACATTAAAACACACGCACGCTTTCATAAAATAAATAATTCCCATCCAATTGAAGACTATAAAACAAGACAGAAAATACAGGCAACTTATTTGGGGGGATCCTTAATTATTTCTCACATTCACTCATTTCTGCTGCTGTATTTCCCTTACCCTTAAGAAAACACTTCTAAGGGTGCAGTTAAGTAGCTTAGTGATTGCTTCTTTTATTTGTAAATACTCTGAAAACCTCTGATCATTGAACATACCAAAAATCAAAAATTTTAATTAAAAAAATAAAACCTAATCTTAAGTATAGCTGTTATGGTGAACAAGTTCAGAAACAGCTCACCATTCGGACCACCCTCCTTATCATCTTCCCCTTTAACATTATTCCTACCTTTAGTAATCACACTTGCAAAAATAAATCCTTTGTACAGCCTGGAGATCTGAAATTCACCCTTTTAGTTGATTCTTGTTAACAGGACACAAGGTCATAACTTTTAAACCTCAGACAAGTTGTGCCTTACAAGCTAAAGTTAAGGACATTATGAAGGCCCTATTCAATAAATTCATCTTGCAGAAGTCCCAAGTTCATTCTCTACTTCAACAAAATTCATTCCCTAAAAGTTACCAGTTCAGTGCATTTCCACCTTGTAGTAGGGCACTGCTTCAAGGTGGTGAAACAGATACTTCAGGACATTAGGTTCAATTACTATCGATCCCATCTGCATTACTGAAATACTGATTAAATTGCTATGTAATTAAAACCACTGCATATCCATGTCTGCTGATTAGGAATCTAAAGTGATTTTCTTAATTACTAGTTCTGCAATGTGAGAACTAAACCCAAGTGATGCTTAGTTGATGGCACAGGAGTTTTCCTTTAAGTATATTTTTCAGAAAGCCTTCCCTGGTGGATTCCTTCCCTGGTGAATTCTTAATGAAACCATTTCAAGAACTGTTTTATCCATGCACCACTTGCACATGTCTTGGGCCTGAGGCATTTGGTTTTAATGCCACACAATTCTGCTTGCACCTCCCCTTTTGAGATTTTCAGAAAATGTCATCACCTTCAAATTTAGGTCTAACCTGTGAACTGTTTGGGCTTTGGTACAAGCTTTCCTGTGGGCTGCAGAATAGAACAGGAACCCAAACTTCCACTCAGAACCCTGGGACTGGGTGTCCTTGCTACAGACAGAGCAAAAGGCTACTTCACCTTGGGAGCACCTACTGGAAGAGACTTTTATCTTTGATTAATGCAACAAACTTCACTCCAGAGCTGTACAAACACAGAGCCTGTAAACCTCAGGATTTCCCTTATCTCCTTTTCCTAGTCACTAGGGCTACAATATTACCATATGGATTCCCCCACCGCCTCCACATTCACATTTAGAACTTCCAAAAGGTTCTTTTAAACAAATCAAGTTTAATCAAATCTGATTTGATTAAAACCAGACTTGGGATCAAACCTGCAAAGGGAGTTCTGGGCTTCCAGACCCTCCTCATTCCAGTACTTTTGTTCAGTGGTTTTCTTGAAAGTATTAACACTTTGTTTATATTGATACTTTTTGCAGTAAGTGCCATACAAAGGTTAATCATATTTCTAAATGTTTATCTATTAAATATTTTGGCAATTTCTGTAAGCAACCTAACAGTTGCTTACAGTATAGTAAGTAGTATTGAGAATTAAACATAAAAGGGAAGTAAAAGTCTAACTGTAAACAAGTAGGAAGGCTGCACCAGTCTCTTAATGATGTACTGAGACCCATTAATCTTCTTGCACCTTCTTACATTTCCTCAACAAGCTACCAGAGCATCAGTTTGGACAAAGTGCTCTTAGGAGACACTGGTGGAGTCAGGTGATCCACTTCAAGATTAGTGGGCTTCTTTGGGCATAAACTTCATTACTAATAAAATTAAACTTGAGGGTTGGGTTTTTTTTCCTGTAATTGTGGAAAAGTACATAATTTCCATAACTAGAATGGAGTTTTCATGCAGCTGTTCACAAGGAAAATCTAATTAAAGAACTAGCCTGGTATTAAAATCAAAGCCCCTGTTTTTAACAGTTTGCAGTCTACTATAAAAACATATATATATTCCAGGCACCAGTTTCTGGGCCACTAGTTTTATTGCTTCCTCATGAAGTCAGAGCTGAGTTCCATCACTATTCTAAAGGACTGACACTGATGCTCACCCCAGCCCTGCTCTCCTCACACCCCCAGCAGTTCACTCCTGTCCAGCGACTCTTTCTTGGCACCACTGCTAGCATTCCCGAAGCCACACAATAGATCTGACCAGGGAAAAAGCAATCAAATAAAAAATAAACACTTCTCTTTCTATCCCTCCCAAAAAAAATTTCCCTCATGCCTTTTTTTGTCTTAAAATGTAGGTGGTTTTGCAGTTACACTGGCTCCGATGCAAGTTACCTCAGGTTTGCTCAGCCAATCTGAAATATTCCTATTCAAGCTCAAGTCAGGTCCAACCTTTCAAAATAAGGCTCCTCTTGGAATCTATCCTAATCACTAAAAGAACACAATTCCAAAAACCAAACCTATTGTGGTTTCTTTATACCAAGTCTAGCTGCCTTAATTTTCAAAAGGGATGCTTAACGATACCAATACATTTGTTAATAAAACCTGAAGAACCCCGCATTATTTAAAAAAAACTCTTAATACATACCAGACAATTTATTACATTTGCATTAAAAAAACCAAATAGTATGTATAATCCAGGTAACTGAGGTCATACACATAAAAATTTATTAGACAACACGCTTTAAACTTCTCCATCACAGAACTACATATCGTTTTTGTGAAATCCCTGAACTTGATTTTCATTTTGATGTTTCCAGGCAGAAATGTTGCAAGTTGCATTTTGACCAAATACTGTACAATGTGGTTTTGCTTTTTGGAAACAGGGTTGCTTCTCTGGAGATTTTGCTCTCAGCAACTGATTGTCCTTATGCTTTAAAACAGAAAACTCCTAGGTTAATAAGGAAAAGTTAATTTTAAAACCATTCTCACAAAAATTCCCCCAAAGAAACAAGATCCAAACTTCCTACTGGAAAAATTCTAAATATAATTAATACCTTAACCTCCCATCTCTCCCCTTATGAAATGGAAAAGAAATGAAAGATGTTTTCTCTGCACAAATCTTGCTCTCAGCAAGAATCATCTCCTGCCAGAGCACATGCTCTGAATGAGCCAGACTGGATTCTTTCAGCCAGCAATGCCCATGCTTTTTGGTTCTTATATTCTCTGTTGGTTCTCTGTTGTGAGCATTGAATGAAATACTTAATGCCACTGCACTTAAATCCTATTCCAAAACGCAAAGGTGGGCTTAGTCAGGATCTAGCAACTGAAAGCCTAGCAGAAGGAAAAGACAGCTGCATGACATTTGCGAGTCTCTAGGCCAGGTTTAAGTCTAGGCAACTGATTCTGAGAAGTACCTTCACATGTATAATCCATGTCCAACAGGGTGATTGGGGCAAGACCTCAGAGTAGATGGGTACTTCTAGAAGTTTAAGATAAAATATTCATCTATTCTTCCTGTAAGGGCATATTTATCCTAATCTTAAATAAGCAGAGTTCAAAATTTCATAGAATCATAGAAAAGATTGGGTTGGAAGGGACCTTGAAAGATCATCTAGTTCCAACCCCACTGCCACAGGCAGGGACACATTCCACTAGACCAAGTTGCTAAAAGCCCCATCCAATGTGACCATGAACACTTCCAAGGATGGGGCAGCCACAACTTCTCTGGGCAAGTGGACATTTGATGTCAATGGTCTATAAGGCACCATCAGTCTGGTCTTTACCTCAGCAGAGCGGTGGCTATTAGCATGTCAGATATAGAAGTGAAGTCAGGACTGAATGGGTTTACTTGCGGCTTTTCATAATCTGGTACTACTAATCAGTACTGTCTCTCCTTCAAGGACTGTAAATGATGCTAAGTAGTAGACCATAAGCTACTAAGTTTATAAGACCACAATTACTAAATGAGAGGAGATGATCTTTGCTCTCTCCTGCAAGGAAACTAACCTTGCTTCCCACTGTCTAGAAGAAGTAGAACACTTTCCCATCACTCACCAGAGCTTGGGAACCTTGCTAAGTATGCGCTGTCTTTTGTAATTTATTTAGTTTTAAGACAGGTCGTCAAAGGTCTTGTAATCAAAAGACTACCCAAGCAGAAAGTTCCCCACCAAGTCAGCATTGCCAGGTATGGAGCAGGAAACTCAAGGCTGGTTTATGAAAACAAGTAGCAGACAAATATCCCCCCAAAATGTGCTTCTTCACAGGCACATGTCTAAAAATTTTGCGATAAAGAAAAGCAGCAAGAACAGAAACAAGAGACAGACCACAATACTTCAGAAGCCATGAGCAGCGTCACAACTACGTCTCATGCATATTCCTCAGTTTCCTCTGAAACTACCTCTGCCTTTGTCATAGAACACATTAATTCTACTGCTAGTTTGTCCTGCACTTACTCCTTGTTTCTAGCATAATACTTGAAATGCTACATTAACAGAGTCTCTATAATCACCTGATGGTCTCTCCCCTCAGGCTTCCCGAAACTGAGTAAAACAGGGAACAGATGCTTCAGGTGGGAAGCCTGTCACTTCTGTATCACAGTTTAACTCCTACCTTTGTTCTAAGCAGCTGAGATTTATTCTGAAACATGTTAGTGTTCACATCATTTTCTCTGCAACTGTTCTGGGCCCCCGCAGTATCCATAATGCTGCTTCCACAAGTCTGTGTACTATAACCACTGTCCACCTGAAATCAAGAAGTAGAGCTTTAAAAATGTACTGCAATTTAACACCAATAAACCCCTCAGATAATCAAATGCAAGTCCTATCAGGTAACAGAACTTAGTTCCACAAACCAACTACCATCAGGTAACAACAAAAGCAAATTGTAAACAGGTCTGTCAGAATTATAGAATCATAGAACAGTTCGGGTTGGAAGGGACCTTCAAAGGTCATCTTCTCCAACCCTCTGCAGTAAGCAGGGACATCTTGAACTAGATCAGAATTACTTTGGATTAAATACATTACTATACATAGTAACACAAAAATTGCTCTGATGACTCCACTGCAAGGGGAAAAAGGGAATGCGGATAAAGGATAAAAGTCACAAATACCACCTGCATGCCGCATCCATTAAGAGAAAATAGACAATTACTTCCAGAATAGCATACATATTAGAAGTGATTATGTTGAGCTCAGTTTTAACAATTTTTATTTTTACCTGAATACTACTGCTGTCACAAGGAATTGCACTGCTTTCTGCAAGAGGTGACATGTACACACGAGAGTTTTCAATACTGAAAGTAATCCCTGTCATAAAGCTGGTCATTGGTGCATTGCTATTGCCAATTGTTTCTTTCATCCACGTGTTTTCCTCTGACACTTCAGCTATGTCAGCCATATCTACAGTATTATTTTCCTTGGAGCCTTCTATATCCTGAAACGATGACAGCCTTTGATGACAAGCTTCTGAGTGATCTGGTGCGATAGACACAGTTGCTACCACAAGATGTGTGCCATGTGTAAAAGTTTCCCCGTCTGGCTGGCGTAAGGTTATTCCATTATCCATTTCTGGGAACCGAGCTTCTGCTGAAGAAGCATTCTCCTTGTCTTCCCCATCCTCACAGTGGTTCTCAACTGCAATCGGTATCCTAATGACAGAAGTCTGAAACTGGGTAGTTCTTCTGCATGCTCCAAGCCTCATAGGAGAAGACTTTTGAATTGGAGAACAACCATCTATATAAGGACTTTTTGTAGCTGGGGATGTCATTTTATTTGAGGAAGAAGAAATATCTGGTGAACAAAATGTAAATTTTCTTTGGTCTGTAAAAAACAACAAAGTTATTCTGTGAGATACCAGGTGGAGATAAAGTCATCATCCTCAAAGCCCTAGGGTCCTTTGAATCATCACAGCCAAACACACAGTATTTCACTGACTGCTGTCTCCCAGCTCCAAGGCCTGCTTAAAAAAAATAAATAAATAAAAAAAAAAAAAATAAAAAAAACCCCAAGCAACAAAAATCCCCATAAACAAACAAACCAACAAAAAACCCAAAACGAAAACACATCAGCACATTTAAACTATCATGGTAATGGCGAGTTTTTACCTCATTTTTACCACCAAATTTGTTCCCCATGACATGGTTTGCTGTACTTGAAGCCTCACATTTTTGAATGTCAATACAAAAGAAGCTGTGTGAAGGCTGGTTCTGTGGCTTTTTTCAGAACAAGTATCAATACACATGTTCTGTATGCATTTAAAAAAGAAAAACAACAGGGCAACAATAAAGTCTTCAAGAAAATCAAACAAGTGAGAAAACACCTGTGTAATCTCCACATGAAAGGGTGTTGAAATACCCCAAGGTTCACCAGAGTAAAATCATGTATAAACATGGCATTAAGCCTTACCAGGTAATGGACAGAACAGGAAATACTGACATCTTTTAGAGCAATGAGGACACAAAATGTTTGTAATTTCTTCACTAGTCAGTTTCCTTTCAAATAATCTTCACAGTCACACCATTTGAAAACTCTAGATAAACATTCTGTGTCCAATTAAAATGCTTCAGGTTGGGCCAAATCAGATTATGACCTGACTTTGTTTAGGTATATAGCTTTAAACCTCCTCCTTGCATTAGATTAATCCTTTGAAGGCTGGGGTTTTTTTTTGTTCCTATTTGGTCTCAATTCCTTCTTCAAGAATACTTTGCCTAGTTGATTTTTTGCAAGCAGATACATTTCACTGTTTCACATCATTAAGGTTTTTCATTGCTAAACAGCAAATGTGTCATATAGGAGGAGACTGCTGGTCTGCCAAGCACAGTAACTGCTACTTGCTCACAGTAAGACTTTCTGAACAGAGAACAGTTCCAGTAAGAATGCAGCAGTTTTTATAATAAACACATGTAAATCAAGAAAGAAAGAATAACACATATACAGTTAAACCATACCTGACAGTGGTGTCTTTCTTATGTGAAAAGCAATTGGTGAAAAAGCAGGAGAACCATTAGGTGCAGGAGACCCCTGTGGAAATGTGGGACTGGTTATACTTCCCAGACTGTAAATACTTGCTCCTCCCTGAATAGGGCTTGATGAAATCTGACCCTTCAGTTTGAGAGAGAGGGGAGGAAAAAAATTTAATAAAAAAAAAAAAATAATAAAAAAAAATTAAAGCATATTTTCATAATGTAAATTTTTACTAATATGTAAATAGAAAAACTATTCTAACTAAAAAGCTTAATATGGCAGCACTGAGGAAAGCTAATCATGTACAATTGCAATCTCTATCATTAGTTTATCTTAAATATTCCAGCTGTAGCTCTTCACTTGGACTTTATGCCTCCACAACAGGAAAGGAGCAATGGACTTAAACTAGCACATAATAATAACCAAGACTGCAATATCCATTGTAAGTAAGAACTATGAGAAGCCTTTACAAAGAATTAATGCTATCTGTGTATACAGTCAAGTATTTAATCCCAATTTCATACCAATGCAGATGAAGGCCAACCACTATATACATTCTAATGGAATCAGCATTATCTGAATTTAACTCAGCAGCAGACATAATACTTTTCCTTAAGAAGAAAGAATAGTGGTTCTGATCTTGCTTAAGAGTATGGTGCAAGAAGTCACTTGAGCAGTGCTGTAGGAACATTGTAGGAATGGTTTACTAGGTTACTACAGTGAAGACTTTTTAAGCCACACTCTAGCTCAGGTAATCTTTTTTTTCCATGCACTTCAGCTGCCAAACAGAAGAAACTGTACCACCTAAACCAGTTTAGCTGTAACACATCCACCTGGGAATAAGATTCATCTGGCTTAATTTAAAAAACAGACATTATGTTCTGTGTTCTAATAAATGTCTCTTCATCTGAAATTTAGCACTGCATTCAAAGATCCACAACTCATTTCCTCCACTATAAATGAGTTTAGGAGTTATAAGGGAAATAATTACATCACCTGTTCATATCAGCTAGTATTTTAGACAGCAGTTCATGGATTTAAACAGGTCTTTTTCTGTATACACATTTTATATACATATAAAAAAGGTTTCAACATGCTTTCAGCAAGTCTTGTATATGTATTGATTCCTACTTCCTTTTTGTAAAATTAAAGCGTAATTCTTTCTGTACAAGAGAACAGCATCCCAGCATAATAGTTTGATATAATAAGAAGTCAGTGATAAATTATTTCAAAACTTTTGTTCATGTTTTTTACAACTTTGGAATTTGGAGGGAGAAAAAACTCAACAAAAGCCAACTCACAAAACACACACTACCAAAACCCAAGCCACAAAAGCACCCTTTGGCTTAACACCTACGCTATCATACAGCAGTTGTAGCTTATTAAAAAGATGACTGCTCCCCTTGTGAAGTCTGTTAGAACACAGAATCAGCCTGCTCCAAGAACTGCTCCTGTGCCAAGTCAGTCACATTCCACCCAGCACCCAAACCAGGTTACTTACTGAACTAGGTGTTTCTAGAGGGCTTCTGCACCGAGCTGGAGAGATGTCTATTGAACAAAGCACTCCAAGTGGCTGACTAGCACATGGACTATGTGGAGAAATGGATAAACACTCAGACACACTTCCATTTTCTTCTAGAAAGAGCTTTCTTCTGAGTGATGAAGAGCTCAGATTTCCCTGAGACTGATCTGAAAATTCATCAGTTCTGATATATTCACCTAGAAATGTCAGGGTGAAGTAATTTCCAGTAAGAATGCAAGAAAAAAATTCTATTAGAGAGACATATAGAACTAACTTAAAACATTTAATCCAATCTGCACCAAATAATTGATCTAATTTAGGCACCTATCCCAAAGGATCACTTGTTATCATTACAAAGAGCCCACTGTGTCTACTAAGGTTCCACTTCTGCCTATCATGCTTTAATACTAAAGTCTGCATTTAAAAAAATATATAAATACTGGCTAACATCTACTTACTGGCCTTTTCACATCTGTGTATTATTCTTCACAGCCGAGTTGTGAAAAAGGGATTATTATACTACCCAAGCAAAACTAGACCCTTTTTCAGGCCTCCCATATGGTTTGATCGTAGTCATGATACATCACCCAGAGGCAAAACAGTCAACTTGAAGTCAAAGCAAAAAGCATACAGATGTTAACAAAGACCCATTAAAGTATGCTACTCTTTACCATATCAGTTATTTGCTTTTACTCTATTCTAAATGGATACTCCTTGTAGAATAATTTTTTCCTGAATTCACAAACCGTGCATTGATGGAAGCATTTGTTAGGATGAAATATGGTAGCAATCAATATAGTTCTGATTTTCTGTTTTAATTTTGATGGCCCACAATCAGGGCTGTCATACAGGGATAGGAACGCACAGCCAAAAACCTCTGAGTACACCCACTATTCCCACACAGAAGCCCCCTACCTGAGAAGCTGGCAGCAATTACTTGATAAAACAGTTACAATCAGACAATTTGGACTCTTTCCTCCCTACTCAGCAGTCACAGCTTTTTTGCCACCACACAACTTTCAGTCACCACCGTGGCTTCAGTTCTATGAAAGGCACAGAATTACAGCATTGCTTTGCTCAAGGCAAAGTTGGGCTATGAGCCCCAAGGCCAGCAATGTGAAGTTGAACAGCTGTAAGTTAAGTAAGGGCTCTATTGGGGGGAGGCAGGGCATGCCTTCTGCTTCCTACCTTCTATGCATTCAGAATTATTAATCACTTTGCAATTGTTCTCCATATACCTCGTCTTTTATCTTTATGTCTACACTGAAAGCATATCATTTAAGTCAGCTGTCCCATGAAATATGCAGTAACTGTTTATTTAGACCACAGTCTTAAAACTTTCATTCATACATTGTTTTCAATATTTCATAAGACAAGAAAACCCCAGCAAACAATACAAGTTTTCTATTTAGACAATCATAATTAAATTTAGATATGACACAACATACCTAGTATTTTCTCTAAATTAAAATCCACTGGCAAAGACAGTACTGTCTGACAAGCAGCTGCAATGAATAAAACCAACAAAATTAGCTTTCAGTGACCTCTGACTAAAGCTGTAGAAACAAAAATCCACTTTCAAATTGCACTGCAATTAAGCCGTTTAAGTTACAGTTGCAATAAGGAAAAGTGTTAATTAAAGCTAGGATTCTGATTTGAGAACAAGTATGTGCAGCACACTCAGTCCTAGAGGTAAACAAAACAAGGGTTGTAACATAAAAGCCTCTGGAGAGGCATTCTGAACTGAAGAGAGATGTCTCTGAAGAAAAGATTCAAAAGGAAATGGGAGAAAATTCATCAAAATACCCTGGGGAAAAGCACTGCTTATTTATCTAAAATGAAACAGTTTTAAAAAGATTTCAGCTATTTATGTGGAAGAGAAAATAATCAAGATTCTCTAACCCGAAACAATCCAACACATTAAAGGCTTCTTGAAACTGTAATTTACCGATAAACCTGAGACTTAGATTCACTTTTTAATTCAGAAAAGGTGCATGCATTGAGTTGAAAAAAAAAAATGCACTCCACAGTCTACAGACAGCTTCAGTTTTTATTTTGGAAAAAATATGAAAGATTGTAATAGAATTACTATGAGAAACATATTAATAGTACCATACACTACAATAAAAAAAAGTATTTCTACAGGGATATTAACAAAAGAATTACTGCCTTTTGAAATTAAATAGACATTAAAAAAATGGGTCATTTTGCTTCAGGAAAAGCCCGTAATTTCAGACATTGCCTTTTACCCACCATTGCTTTTCCCAGGCTGCAAAGCTAGTTGTCTTCCAATCGGAGAAAGGTTATTTAGATCTATGGCTGTAAAACAGATAAGAACTTAAATTTAAGCATGCATTGCATACAGTTTTGAAACCAAGCAGCAATAAGTTAGAGTACTTAACGCAACTAAAGAAGGGAGTTCTGAAAAAGGTTACCATTATAGTTGATTAAGAGAATTTCAGCACCTTTCTAGTCAAAAAAAGCTTAGTGAAATAGCATCAACTTTGCCTAAATCTTTGTCTCCTGCAGCCTTCTCTACATTATGGATACTTAAACTCAAGTTTGTGCTTAGCCAAACAGGCTGTGTTCAAGTAAATCACATTTCCAGAAAATCATGCAGTTTGAACATGAAGACAAAGATGAGGAACCTACTATTCTGTTTTGTTGTTTTGGGGTGGTTTTTTTTTGTTTGTTGGGTATTTTTGTGTTGGTTTTGGTTTTTTGTTTTTGTTTTTTTACACAGCTAAGGAACACATTATACCATCTTCTTTCAGCACACACTTTCCCTAGGTCTAGGACTATGGCTTATGTTCTCTGCCAAAGAAGTGACGATCATACAGTTGACAATTAAAAATACACTATCCACAGGCTGCATTTCCTTGATAAAAAATTTTAAGTTTAGCCTCTTCCAAATCTTGCAAAAGTCCCCACTTACTTCAGAATCTCCTACCAAACAATACTGAATGCAAACAGTACTTTATAGCTAATATTTGTCCAACCTGTAATGCACTTACTATGTATTCTATTGGTTATATAGAAATTTTAATAACATTAATAATAAAATCTAATAATGGCATAAACAAAATAAACAGAACATTCACACTACATACAGTGACAGTGAGGTAGCAGGACACAAAGAGGACAACAGGAATTTATATGGCAAGTAAGGGTCAAAAAATACAGAACTCAGTTTCCCATATACTTATATTGGCAGGAAAGCAGTCTGAATAATTCAGAGGTGCAGCTATCAGAAAAGCTAAGTAGATGACTTGGCTATTACCAGTACTGACGCAGAAAAGTTGTGTGCTTGAAGACAGGTTTCGAAAGGAAAAAGATTTAAGAACAGGAACCAAAAATGACAAAAAGGAAAACTGTAGAAGATTCTGGCTTAGAAAATAATTTGTAAGCAAAGAAAGCACTCTGAGAGAACAGCTAAAAGTCTACTAGTTGTGCCATCTTTTATCATTGGTTCTTAAAATTTAAATGAAGGTTGAAAAAAAATTATGCTTGATGATTTCTCCAAAAGCTAGGCTAATTACGGGTGACACACAGAAGCAACTTACAATTACCTGAACTAAACTGTGAAACTTGCTTGCCTTCATGTTCAGTCCAAGGAGAAGGAACTATGAGCCTTTTTGTGAAAAACTAGAGTAGAATAGAAACAAACCATCTTAGCACTTTTAAAAATTGAAGAAACTCAAATTTAGATCAGTACCCTGAACAAGAAAAAATTACTTCATACCTTTTGCAACTCATAGATCTCTATCTTAAGAATTTTAACTCTTCCTTCCCCAAAACCTAAATCCCTTATACCCCAAAAATATTTCATTATTTCAAGTCCAGAGAGGTTAAAAAAAAGTGATTTAAAGACAACCCCAAAGTTCTTTATAACACATACCACCCCAGATCTTTCAAGCCTGCAGAATGAAAATTGTGTGACAATTCCATATAACAATGATTAATCATTTCAAAAAGGGAATTGTCTCTACCATACTTATTGCACAGTAGTTTAACATAATTATTTTAAATTTTTCAGTTTGTTGACTTTTGACAATTAAGGTATTTTGCAGAACTGCTGAAGAGACAGTGAAAGGAAAAGAAGAGGACAACAAAGGTTATGGCAACCTTAAGTGTATTTGGCTAAAATAGGTTAGCAGCAAAACATTTATCAGTACTGGCATTTAAGTCTCTTTTCTTTGAACTAGAAACTATATCTGCTGTGATAGTCGCACTCCAGAACACACTAATGCTGAGGATATGAACACTACTACATAGCTTCACAAAATACACGGTAAATCCTCTTCCCACAGTAAAAGACTCAAAACGAATGAAAATGAAACAGCTTGAAACACCCAACTATTAAAAGCATAATTTTTATCAGTCATGGTTTCAAGCTGTTCAGCTGCATAATTCATAAGTTTATATGTAACAAAGAAAAAACATCCCTTTTAATCACAGATTTAGAACAACAGAGCATGTTTGCTGCAGGTCAGCTACCTAGCACCTTTATGGAATCATGAACCATTTCTTGTTGATAAGAGACAGAAACTCATAACAGCATGATACAACATAAAAAGGTCAGTAACACTACCAAAACCTTATTTTAATTGAAATAGCACTGAAGATTTGAAACACTTTTCCCTCTCTGCTAGACAAATTGATGGTAAAAAATAAAACAAACAAAAAAATAATCCCAGAAAGAACTCGGAAGAAACAAAAAAAAAAAAAAAAAATCTAGGTTCTGCTGTATTTTTAAAAATGTAATAAAAGAAATTATGCTATCTAACACCAACAGTTACTGTAAACCCTAAAATACTCAAGAAATTTTAAACTAAATTAATTAATTTCTAAGAATTATCTTACTGCTATATTCCCACAAGCCAAGCAACACAAAAGAAACAAAATATGCTGATTTGACCTATAGGTGTGTGAAAGAAGATGGGAAGAAGATCATGTGGGTTCCAACTACATCTGCAAGTGATGAGAACAGAAAATTACTTTCTTACTGACCAGTAAAATATAATAGGGTTCTGGGTTTTGAAATCCTGTAATACATGTGGATCTTTTTTGCAGGTATGTAGCTAAAGCAAATAAATACTTGATAGCATAAAAAGTTTTATTACCTCCTCAATGGCTTTTTGCCTTCTGTCTTCTGTCTCCTTATCAATTCTAGGTAATAAATGAAAAACAACTCAATTATCAAAACCACTACATAATTGGGAAAAGAAGTAAAGTCCAACCATGTAATCTTTTACAGATGCTTAAGAATAACATTATAAATGAAACTGCACTAAATAATAAATCTTACTTTTTACTGCCATGTACAATAATCTCATACTATAAATATGGAAATATGGATGCATTTCTGTTACTCCTGTTCATTTGAAAGATCTGTACCATCTCTAAGTACGTATTTGCAAATCTGCTATTTAACTGGACCAAAAAAAAAATCATAACCAATCTTCCAAAATAATCATAGAATCACAGAACGGTTTAGGTTGGAAAGGACCTTAAAGATCATCTAGTTCCAACCCCCCTGCCACAGGCAGGGGCCCCCTCCACCCACATACACCTCCAAAAA